AGATGGATAGATGGATAGATGGATAGATGGATAGATGGATAGGTGGATAGGTGGATAGATGGATAGATGGATGGATGGATAGATGTATAGATAAATAGATAGATAGGTGGATAGATGGATAGATGGATAAATAGATAGATGTATTGACGGATAGATGAATAGAGATATAGATAAATGGATAGATGGATAGATGAATTGATTGCTAAATAGATGGAGGATAAATAGAGAGAGAGATTCATAGATAGATAGATAAATAGATAGATGTACAAAGTAACTTTGCTAACCTGCGGTCCCATGTAGAGGCTGAATATCGGTCCGTACTGCTCACTCAGCTGTTTGAGGTAACGTCCTCCATGTTTGCCGGCCAGCGAGACAAGGGAGCCAACGACGGGCCAGCCGCGGGGTCCGGGCGGCGCTCCACGCGGTCGCTTCACGTAGTACGACGACACGAGAGCCGTGACGACGACCAAGACGACGCTGACGATGTTGCTGCCAAGAAACTGCAGCAGCTGCGCGAAGGCGCTGGCTACGGTGCCGCCCATTGTCGCCACACGTGCGCTGACAGCCTAGTAACACACACGGATGTACGCCCGGTCACCGATGATCAGGATGGGATGCGATGGGATAGGGTGGGGTGGGATGAGATGGGATGCGATGTGAGGAAATAGGATAGAATATAATAGGCTTTTATGGGATAGAATACGAGAGTATAGAAAAATATAGGATATGATAGGATAAGATAGGATACGATAGGATAGGATAGGTTAGAATAGGTTTGAATAAAGTTAGAATAGAGGAGGATTAACTTAGAATGAGGGTAGCATAGGTTAGCAATTAAATTGTACACTTAGAGCGAGGTGTTACTGAGTTGTCACACCGCTTGTTATAAATCGACTGTAAATGGACTGTTATGCTATTAGCAGACTCCTACGTCGTAGTGGCGAGGCAATGACGATTGGTCTCCTGCGTGCGTAGAGATATAGCAAATGTCAACAAGTAAATGTGGGTCACATTCTAACTTGATATTCAGCCAATGACGAAGAACGTTGACCTAGAATAATCCTTGTATACACGTCACAGATTTAACGTTCAGTTCCTTGTAGCTACCGTAGCGTGTCTTCTTTTACTGGCATTTCACCATACGTTGTCATCATCTAGAATGGAACACTGACTATAGCAGCAGCGAAATGCGTTAATTAAATTTGCTCCTCTTCACACATCCCGAAATGGACGTGAGCGTCTTTCCTCCTTGCTATTTCTCGTGCGAGACTGCCTTGCATAGACTTACCCTCGGCACTTACACGCTGCTATCGCTGTGTACACCAGCATTCTAACCAGGCACTCGATCAGTATTACTCGGTGCAAGTGCTTACTCAATGATAGAATACATAAGTAAACATAATACTAAGTAACAAGCATACATGATCGATTATTCTGATGATTGCTGTTGGTATGTAATAACTATTTTGCCTATTTTTGTGGTGATTTCCTGCACTAAACCTAACAAGAAAAAAACTATTGCAAATTACAAAATAGTTCAGTTATGCATTTGAACATTTCTCACACAAATTAAATTGCTGCCTCAATTTAATCAGTTTGAATTGAAAAATGAAAGTTTAATTGCCACCAAACTTAAAGAGAAAACATTACTAATAATTACAAAATTATTGAATTTCGCTTTCTAATGTTTTGTACATAAATTGAATGTGTACTACAATCATGAATATAATGAAATGTAATCACGTGTTTTAATCAAGTGGGTAAAAACTACGACTACACTAGTTTGAATTGAAAGATAAAAGCTTTATTTGCACTAAACATAAAGAAGGAATATCATTGCTAATTGCAAGATTATTGAAGTGGGCCCCCTGACATTTATTACACAAATTAAATTGCTGCTACAATAAGCCATATCGAAAAGTCCCCGCCGTCATATTGAGATCAGATAAGAGGGGGTATAACATGGGTAGGATGGGGCTATTCTAGGTTTTTGATCTATAATTCTGCTCACTAACATCGTACTTTAATTCACAGGGGCATTTCTGTTTACATAAACATTTACAAATATGTTTGTGGTCATTTAGAATATTTTGCAATGTTTGTGTGAAATGCAAAAACTAAAAACGCACGAGTGTTTACATTAATCATGCACTTTCTTAAGCGCGCCTCGGCCATTTTATACCCCCTTTTTCGGTGACCTAATTATCACAGCTGGACTTTCCAATCTCACTTATTTAATCGGCAAAATATTTTCTTAAAGCCTTCTCACAAAAGCTTAATGACATGTTTTAATCTCAAGTAACATGTGTAAGATAACGCAATTTAATCACAGTTTTTTTTTAATTACAGGTAAAACGTAGGATAACTCAATTTAATCAGAGGTTAAATCTTAGGATAACACAGTTTAATCACAAGTTAAGGTAAAAACGTTAGGTAACGCAGTTTAGTTACAGGTTAAAACGTAAGATAATGCAGATTTTCGCAAGCGTTTCACCACAGGTTTATCACTTGCACGACGTTGTTTTCTGAAACGTTACAAGTTTTTTTAAATCATTGCGGCTCCTGGCAGATTCCTCTATACAGACAATCATAGAAAAACTCTCTTTGCATACCATTCTGGCATCTACTACTTAAAATATCTTACTTTTGGCCTGTTCAATGCCATAACGTTCCACGAGCAAACAATGCAGCGATTTTTTGGAGATCTCATTGGTAAAAAAACTCCCAATTTACATAGACATTTTGATTTGCTTATTTAATCGGACAGCTTTGAGGAACACATTACATAGCCACATCTCCGCTGTTTACTTACACGTTAACAGGTAGCAACAAACCGTTTAATCACATGCTAGAAACGTAAGATTACGCAGTTCAATCGTAGATAAACAGGTAGGATAACTCAGGTTAATCACAGGCTGAAGCATAAGATGACGCAGTTTATTTATAGGTAAAATGTTAAGATAACAGAATTTAACCACAGACTGAAACGTTAAACAACGCAGCTTAAACCTAGGTAGAAAGTTAGGATAACAGAGTTTAATCACAGGCTGAAACATAAGATAACGCCGTTTATTCATAGGTAACAAGTTAGGATAACAGAGTTTAATCACAGGTTATAACGTGAGATAACGCAGTTTAATCACAGGTTATAACGTGAGATAACGCAGTTTAATATCAGGTTATAACCTAGGATAGCGCCTATTAATCGCAAGTTAAAATGTAAAATAATTCAGTTTTATCGCACGTGAGTAATCGCAAGTTCCAGACATTATCACTCGTACGGCGTGGGGTTTTGACATCATTGTGGATTACTGTCGTGCGACGCAATGCAACAGATACGGATTTGCCATCCACACGACGCCCAAGTTTCCATCCATAGACGGATCGGTAACGCCATCTGGTAGCCTGATGTCGAAGTTCTGTAGAATGCTTGTGAAGAATATGAACAGCTCCACTTTCGCGAGTGTCTCTCCAAGACAGACTCGACGACCTGTCGGCAAATAACAGACGCCATCATCAGGGAGGTTCTTCAAAGGTTGGATGGTGGAGAGAGGGTGTAGTGTTGGCGTGACAATAAATTCTGAGGTTTAGGGTTCGAGTCCCCGCGCGTGAAAAATTCCCGTTATACTGTGATCTCAGGATGCATTTAGGATATTTTTTATCCTGTGACGATATTAGTAACGATGATGATGATGATGATGATGATGATGATGATAATAATGATGATGATGATGATGATGATGAAGATGATGATGAACAATGATGATGAAGGATGATGAAGAAGATGATTATTTTTGTTTAAATATACAGAGAATATCGATAAAAATCACATTTTCATTAAGAATATTAGGGAAGTCGGATCAGAGAAGGGGAGTGGGGGAGTAGTCTGCCGTGCCGTGATATGGAAAAACAAACCTGGTCATGTAAAAACATGTACGACAGTGTATTAAACACCAATTTAGTTAGAATTATGCGAAACATCTCAAATCCCAAGTAGTAACCACAGAACCAGTACAGTGGCGGATTTAGATGGGGTTGGGGTGGCACCCCCCCCCCCCCGTTTAGCCACTGACTAATGTTATGATACTAGTAAGATTGGGTCAAAAATAAAAAAATCTGTCTGCAGGCTGATATAAACATGGGATTTCCCCTGTCACCACACAGCTGCCTGAACTGTCAGATCCTGAACACTGTCATTAGGGGAGCACTAATTCTTACGAACCTATACATCTTCTTGAGTCACGCCCCGTCATGTGGTCTAGGTTGCCAAGTAACTGTTTACACTTTTAAGTTCGCCGTATTTTCCCGAACTAACGAGTGCACGTGCTCATAGGGCCTATATGTTCGCAATTGATTAAAGTTGGCGCGAGAGCCATTTTGTAGAAAATAACTTATCCTAACACTCAGATAAACTGTCAGATGTGCCAAAGTCTTGGAAGAAGATAACTGCCTCATTTGGGATCATATATGTTTTAGCTAGACGTATATCTGGTAGACCAAAGCGCATTTAGTAACATAACTAAAATTTGCCTACAGCAAGAACAATATAACACTAACATGTGTTTAGTCATGGTATGTAGTAGTTTCCTTACAAGTACCAATAAGAATAACATTTCCTGAAGATTTAGTTGACCGCTTCACACATGATGATAAAGATTTCCTCCCCAATATACAGGAGACTCTTCATAGTGGGTTGCACCTCTCCAGTCACCAGCTGCGAGGCTTAACGTCCATTTTCAGCAATGCGCAA